AGAGGAAAATAATAGTTTAGGTAATGTAGAAAATACGTATTTCCCTCCATCCTATTTGAATATATTCTAAAATAATTGTCAACAGTCCTTAAAGATAAATTTTTTCAACCACAATTCTACTTAATCTTCTCAATTCCTTGTCCTGATGTGTAACATTTGCCAGAAGTAGAAAAAGAAGGCGGTTTAACTATTATCGAAGTCATAGTTAGCAAAGAGGGTGCAAGATTGGGTAGAGATGTGTATAGGAAGCCCACAAATGCAGGTTTCCTTTAGAATTTCTTCTCCAATAGGTAGTAGTTATGAAGTCTATTCAAATAAGGCGCCTGAGGCTAAATAAAAAGTTATACCACTCTACGAGAATCCGTATACCGTCATCGTGTGATCTGATGAAGAAGACAGGCAAATTACTGAGAAGGTGGGACATCAGGACCATTTATTAAGAGGAAATAACACATTCCTCGGTAATGCCTTCTTTCCGAGAATACTCTGACTCTCCCTCCAGATCGGGCTGCTAAAACATTTTTGTGTTCATGTGGTAACGCCTGTATGGGAGAGACATGTAGGCCCATGCATAAGAGGTTATCCGCACACAAAACAACCTGCCAGGGTACGTGGGTCCAAAAATCGGAATTAGCCGAACATGTGGCTCGCACAGGACACCCGATAGGTTGGTCTGATGCCAAACGTTTAGCTGGATATGGAGACTATACCAATCAGTAAGCAAAAGATTAGGGAGGCGATAGAAATCCATAAAATAGCCAGCACCATGAAGAGAAGGAATGGGTGTAGGTAGTTAAGCAAAAACTATGTGTACCTGTTGGATAGGTTTAGAGAGAGAGGGCAGGGAACGAGAAGTACTATCAAGCAAGAGAAGGAGGCTTGATTAGGCTGGAATTTGATTTTTGACTCTCACATCACACTCATTGCAAGAGCAATGCACTCATCCAATACGTGTGCAATGGGACGCGATCACATGCGGTTACGTTGCAGGATCAAAGGCATGAGTGTTTTGGGGAGGATGCAGCTGTTCGGTTTCAAATGTACCCATTTCACGCTTCATCTACTACCACTTCACGCTTCATCTACTACCACTTCACGCTTCATCTACTACCACTTCACGCTTCATCTACTGCCACTTGACCTAACTTTTAAGCAAAGCATAGGATATCCAACCAAATGGTGAGATACCTCATGAATGGGACCGAGTTGGACTGTGAGAAGTGGGTAGATTTGAAGCCGGCCACCTTTTTTGCCTTCGTGTTTTTGTTGAATCAGCACCAAACATGCTGTCCTGCTTCGACGATGTCCGTCACATGACGGACGAGAGCTCAGCAAGGATTGATCGGGGCAGCAGGGCGATGCGCCGAGGACCAAATCGCACAAATCTATGATCACAGCTCCAAGGCAATCCCACCTAGCTTTGGATGAGACCAACTTACTAACCCATCCCACTCGCTTCTCCAAAAGAACTGAAAGGTGCCCCAGCATTAGTTTAGATAATGTCTTGTTCTTAATTAACCAGATTGATTGTAATGTTAAGTTGAGAATGAAGATGGATAACTACAATGATTTACCTTTTGGGATGTTTTGGTGATCAGAGCAGGTGAGAAGTTAAGCAGGGGTGAATATAGAAAACAAACAGATGCTGGCTTAATCCTTAATTTCTTCTCCAACCATGGTTACAAAACAAAGGTTGGTATTTTACGATCTCTAATAATAGGGAGCATAAGACTAGTCAACCGAGATCATTGTAATAATGAACTGGATCGGCTCAAACTAATATTACTTGAGAATAATTGTCTCCTAGTTTGATTGAAGATAGCATTAGATTAACAAAGAATGCCTTTTTGAATGGTGAACAAGTAGATAGAAATAAAAAAACCTTTTCCATTTATTTGTCTTTGCTTTCGTGAAAACTCGTAAGAGAGTGGGAAGTAAAAACGGATTTCAGTGAAACCACGACACTTTCTTCACTTTTAGAGAGAAATTCTACCTATTATCCAAGTCGGGTTACTATAATATGTGTTCATGTGGTTACTTTTATGTTGGAGCGACTTGTCGTCCCATTCGGCAAAGTGTAGCCAAGCACAAAAGTGCCTGCAGAGGCTGTTGGGTTCAAAAATCGGAGCTGGCTAAGCACAGGCCAGAAACGGGACACGAGATTGAATTGTCTCAAATTTGCCATTTTGCTGATTATGGTATGTCAACAGATAAACATAAAATTAGAGAAACAATCGAAATAAACTGAATAAGGAATACCGGCAATAAGTTAAGTAAAAAATATTAGGGCCTAACTAATCGACTCAATGATAGAGAGGGCGTTGAGCCATCTGCAAAAAGGAGGCGACTCAATTGGCCTTTTATTTTCTTGTCTTGGTTTTAATCACAGCAAGTTTTATGTACTTTTTAGTCCACTCTTTATCTCTCAAATGAAGACAAAAAGTTCATTAACATAATCAGATGTCTGTATGACTTTGTGCAATCGGAATGATGGCTAAAATATATGTTATATAAACAAATTAATTATACATATATATAGGGTGTGATTGTGGTTACCAACCCTTGATTGCTGTGAGCAGAGGTTACTATTTCTGTTCTAGTTACTTAAAATCATCACTGGTGGTTTCGTAAATATGCGGACACATGCAGGCGAATACATATATACATACCGTCATACTCACATGTTTAAAGGTTGACATGATCTGAACTAACCAAATCCCTTTACATCTCATCAAAAACTGAGATATAGAGTATGACGGACAAAAGCTTAGCACATTTTCACAGATATCGAAGGAGTTTGCCTCGAAAATGGCTTCAACAAGAATGTTCTATTAAGGCCAATCGACAGCTGATCAAGGGGAATCGGCCACCGTCTTCTGGTGGAATCGACCTTCGAATCTCTTCATTAAACACTTTTACTTGAAATGTAAGTAATCTCAAAAATTATGCAACAAGACAGTCCTCAAAACCCTACTTTTCTTATGAAGAGAAAATGAATTTCGATGGATCCCTTAGTAATTCAACGCCATTTGACCTTTCATGACGTATTAAAAATTGGCTGGAGGTAATCCAAAAAAGAATCGCTTTTGTACGAAAAGTCCAGAACGCATAGTCTCTCGACAGTTATCTCTCTCGCTCAGACAGAAATCGTCAAAAAAAGAAAATATTCTTTAGCAATATTCACGAAAAACGCGAAAAACCGGTCGCTCAATTCCAAGAGGTAGATTAAACAATGTGATTTGGTTGGCTCTGAAAACCTCATTACAATATCCAAATAAGACTATTAAAAATATGCAGAAAAATATATCTTGCCCTTAGTCTTGGATTAATATTGGGTGAACATCGTTAGGGTATAAGAATTATAATCACCCTAGAACTTATAGCTCAACTCCTCCAGATTTATTAGAGGTCGCGAAACCTGTCTTTATCAATAGTCGTTAAAGGATAAACGCTCTGTCAAAGTGGGACAGACAAAAGCTCAGCATGGATGGATCGGGTTCAAAAGGCGGTGCGCCAATCACTTTTACGCATAATTCAGCAGTCCCAACTCAAAGACCACTCTATTTTGGATCCAGGTGATGCCGATCAAGTAATCTCTCTAGCTCAGCTCTTTATATGAAAGGAAGGATCAAATGAATAAAAATTATTCAAACTATCCTCTTTGCCCGTAGATCTATTCTCAA